AAAATGTAAATGTCTAGTTACCCTGCACAGTGATACCTCCAGGTTTTAACAAAATGAGAAGTAATTTGTCTTACTGGCTACAGTAAATCAATAAAAGTAAATGACTGAAAAGTAATTTGTACGAAGTTTTAAAGCAAAGGAAAGTTTCAGTAAGGACTAGAACAGTATCAAAGAGAATATTCTCAAAGGTGATTCGTTCTTACACATATTGTGCACTGCATGTGTATTCATGTGTGTATGTATAGTCATAAGTACGTGTACAAAGTATTTATGCACGTGTGTTCGCATATATGTAGGTGCGTGTGTCTATATATGTGCATGCATGGGTATAGTTGTACATATTGGAGTATGTATGCATATCTTGTGCATAGGAGCATATGTAAAGGTGTATGCTTGCATGTGAATGTGTACGAAAAGGAACATATGCGTAGTACTTAGGACATTTGCGGGTGAACAACTATGTCTGCACTAGGCGTAAATACGCATAAATGAAATCAGTGTATAAAATATAATCACACACACACACACACACACACACACACACACACACACACACACACACACACACACACACACACACACACACATATATATATGCACTTCTGATACTCAATCCCATACTTATGGGAGTATACCCTGGTGTAGTGAGTAGGCCCGTGCGTTGCTGCTCATAAGTCCACACTAAACAGGGCCAACCCTGCTGGAGGGGCTTATCAGTGGCATCCCAGCTAAATTACTCCCCATCCCACCAAGATGCACCTAATCCAGTAGGTGGAGGGTAATTCGGCTGTATACCTTTCAACCAAATCCCAAGACTGCAAAAACTGAGTAACGGAGGCGAAGGGGCCCCTGATTACGGCGACGATCAGGATCGCTCCGGAGCAGAGGGTGCTAAAAAGGGATGCTGTAGGACTCTGTAAAGTTAGAAGACTTGTCCGTCCTGTGGCATGTCCAGTTTGAACTGTTTTTATGTGTATATTTTTATTAATGTTCCAAATAAATGTATGTAAAATGTAAATGTCTAGTTACCCTGCACAGTGATACCTCCAGGTTTTAACAAAATGAGAAGTAATTTGTCTTACTGGCTACAGTAAATCAATAAAAGTAAATGACTGAAAAGTAATTTGTACGAAGTTTTAAAGCAAAGGAAAGTTTCAGTAAGGACTAGAACAGTATCAAAGAGAATATTCTCAAAGGTGATTCGTTCTTACACATATTGTGCACTGCATGTGTATTCATGTGTGTATGTATATGTATCTGCATATATGTGTGCGTGTGCGTGTGCGTGTGCGTGTGTGTGTGCGTGTGCGTGTGCGTGTGCGTGTGCGTGTGCATGTGCATGTGCATGTATAGCTGTATACGTAAAATGTGAGTGAACACTAATGTGTACTCAAAAATATGTGTGCCTACACGTGTGCGTAAGCATGTGTATGGTTGTGTATGTATAGTCATAAGTACGTGTACAAAGTATTTATGCACGTGTGTTCGCATATATGTAGGTGCGTGTGTCTATATATGTGCATGCATGGGTATAGTTGTACATATTGGAGTATGTATGCATATCTTGTGCATAGGAGCATATGTAAAGGTGTATGCTTGCATGTGAATGTGTACGAAAAGGAACATATGCGTAGTACTTAGGACATTTGCGGGTGAACAACTATGTCTGCACTAGGCGTAAATACGCATAAATGAAATCAGTGTATAAAATATAATCACACACACACACACACACACACACACACACACACACACACACACACACACACACACACACACACACACACACACACACATATATGCACTTCTGATACTCAATCCCATACTTATGGGAGTATACCCTGGTGTAGTGAGTAGGCCCATGCGTTGCTGCTCATAAGTCCACACTAAACAGGGCCAACCCTGCTGGAGGGGCTTATCAGTGGCATCCCAGCTAAATTACTCCCCATCCCACCAAGATGCACCTAATCCAGTAGGTGGAGGGTAATTCGGCTGTATACCTTTCAACCAAATCCCAAGACTGCAAAAACTGAGTAACGGAGGCGAAGGGGCCCCTGATTACGGCGACGATCAGGATCGCTCCGGAGCAGAGGGTGCTAAAAAGGGATGCTGTAGGACTCTGTAAAGTTAGAAGACTAAGCGAAGAACAGAAGATACACTAAATGATGGACACGTGTTCTATCGGAGAGGTAAACCCCAGGGTAGCAAGCAGGAATTAGGGGTAGGTATCTTAGTTCACAAACATTTAGAAAAAAAATATCGTGAAATTCTATAGTATAAGCGAAAGAGTGGCTTCAATAACAATAAAACTAAACAATAGGTACAACAGGGATCTATACAACTCAAATAAATAGACACGAATAGAAGCGAACGCGGTAACTAGAGACATTACAATACAGCAGAAGAAAAAAAAAGAACGCTTAAAGGCATGAAGAGAGGGAAAACACCAGCTGAAAACGGAATTGGTAAAGACCTTATAATAGATGCAGGAGAAATTACAACAGCGAAACTAGCCAATCTTTTTAACAAATACCTACTCAACGGAAAAGCTCCGAAAACCTGGAAAAATGCAACAGTTATTTTGATACATAAAAAGGGAATAGGAAAGATCTAAAAAAAAAAAAAAAAAAAAAAAAAAAAAAACGACCCATAAGCCTCCTTCCATTTACATACGAACTGTTCACAAACGTCATCACAACTCTGACAGCATGGATTCTAACCAGCCTAGAGAACAGACAGGTTTCGCAGTGGATTTTCAACAACAGAACACTTTCGCTCACCCAAACAGGAAGAAAAATAAACAAATATATGTATCGCATTCATCGATTACGAAAAGGCATTAAACTGTAAAAATACCCGCAGTACTAGAAGCTATTCGAAGACATAGAAGATAATACAAAGATGGGACAGCAACCATCAAGCTCCACATGGAGCTTGATGTGTACCAGTTGTACACATATTTATGACTATACATACACACATAAATATAGCTATACATATGCTTATGCACATGTGTATGTTTATGAGTACACATTAGTTAGTGTTCACCCACATACATATGTTCACACATGTACATGCACATATATATATACATATGCATATACACATACACATACATACATATATATACATGCACATACCCATATACACATATATACATATACACATACATATATATACACATATATATGCATATATACACACACCTGCACATATACACAAATATATGCATATATACACAAAAATACACATATACATACTTATACATATACACATATCTGCACATATACATACATACATATACATAACACATATGAATATATACACACATAAGCACATATATATACATCTATGTATATATTGCTTCTCTTGCATATACACACAGACACGTACACACAAACACCCATAAACCTGGCACTTCCATCCATACTCACTCATACTCGTGCACAAACGTATGAACATCTGCATGAACGCACATACGCATATACTGCAGTGTCTTCGAGAGTTGGCCATATGAAGGTCATCTTCCTTCTTGACTCTAATCAGTGCTCACATTTTACAATGCAATTCTTTGGCATTGTATAATTTTCTTTTTAACCCATTCGCGCCGGGTAAAAATGAACAAAAAATGGGGAAAATGCTGTGTTAATTTTTTATATCTTTTAATGAAATTTCTCTACACTAGATGGCTCTGCTTTACCGGATTTCATTTGACGGGAAAATGTATTTTTACTAGTGCTATGAATATCGATGGTTATTTTTAATATAAACATTATAATTACTCTAATATTATAAACATTAGTAACGGCAAATTAAGATAACGCAAAATAATTTCGTGAATTAAAAGAAAAGGGTAAACAGACGAGACAGGCAGTACAAGTGCAAGTGGAGCCATCTATGTCTGTAAACAATCAAACAAGTAATCTCAAAGTGGGCCCGTCACTTATACGTGACGCCCGGCGCGAATAGATTAATGCTATTCTTTTTCTTTATTCCTCATATGCTACCAAGTCCCCTAACTCCTTACTTTCCCCAAATCTAACCATATGACATTTTTGGTGTTAAATTCCATATTAAAAGTATAACTCCACATGAATAAGTTCTTGATAATATGATTGCATCTGTGAGAATGGTTAATGGTTAATGGTTAAAAGCAAGATAAATGTGCTAGTAGCACTATAGTTAATGTTAGTGAAAGGTGGTTGAGTTAGTGATTAGTTGTCTAATCTGGGCAAGGGAATTGGTGAGTGAAAGGGTTAAGGTCGGGTGCATCTGTGAAGAATTTGGCCATTTCTTCATGATCCTGACTCTAGGGTCACTTACCTTTTTCAAAACTTTTTTCGACTCGTATTATCATATTGGTAAATTGATCATCTAAAATCATTCAAAATGCTGTAAGTTTCCTGTGATCATACCTCCACTAGGAGACTTTGCATTATTCCCTTTGTATGCATTGAAGGAATATTAGACCCATAAACTATTTTGTGGGTTGCACTGACAGCAAATATCTTATCTATCAGTGACTAAAAATAGATTCACTTTTTGTTTCTGAAAATATATGCTAGGTGACAAATACATATTCCTAGATGAAGTGATATGGTTTATTTCTGAACATGAAAAGAAATATATGAAGCAGGAACTTTGTGATTCCCTCAATACAGTAAACACCTGCTGAACCTCTGAGCAAAAGGTTGAGGCAATAGAAACACCCAGACATACACACATGAAAAAAAATTTATTCCTCATTACTTGACAAACTTTGCGAGTTTCATAAGGGAGTTTAGGAAGTCAAATAACGAAAATGATAAAAAATAAATGCTTACTATTGATTTATTAGTCATGGCCTTGCTTTGAGGCACATATGAGGCACACTTTCTTGCAGCTTACAAAATCTCATTAGTAATACATGGCAAGACTTGCATTTATATATATATATATATATATATATATATATATATATATATATATATATATATATATATATATATATATATATATATATATATATATATCACTAGCTACATGTATTTCAAACATTTTCTGTTAATCCATGAGAAACATTCTTTGTAATTCATTAAGGCCATATGCATATCTATACAAGTAAATATTCTTTCAGATCCTAAGGCGTAATCATTACTGTTTACACCAAAATATACATCTTCAAAGCTCATGGCTTAGTAAAGCTGTAGAACTTTATCATAGAGCTGTATTCAACACAAATCAACATACCAATGGTTAAATATAAACCTCTGCAATCAAATCTTAAATAAACAACAATCACATTATATTTTTTCTCTAAACAAATAATAATAATACATAACATTTGGACATATTGTACACTTGAAGAGCAGTATAAAGAATAACGTTTTCACAGAAAACATAATAAACAAACCCTCTGATCAGAGCTGTCAAGAAGAAAATGCAACTCCAATTACCTATTTCCTTATCTGAAGCAAAACTTGAAAGAAAAAAAAATCCTGGTTTTCTTTATTTCAAAAAACTGATTATCTCGTAATCACAATACCCATAAAAGGTCGTAAGTTTGATCCCTCTGCAAGGAAAAGGTGAAAAATAAGTATCTAAAAACTTATTAACTAACCTCCCAGTCCACTATGAATATCTGCTATCTAGATTTTTTTCCTTCTCTCATATTCCTTTCAATTTCACATCACATATGCAGTAATAAGAGCCAACAAAGGATTTCCATCTAATGCAACATAACACAGTTCCTACAAACTACTATAAGCAAGAAAATATTATCAAAATACAAATCAATAAAAATGTGTACAAACAAAGAAAATAAATTGCACAGCTAACTACAAAGACTTCAACTATAGCTAAGTGCATGTGCCTCACAACATATGGTATGTGAAGACTAAGAAGAAAGACCACAAACACAACAAGAACTTTTTTTCTAATGATTTGTCTTATTTTTTATCATGTCATAAGAAAGGGTCAGTAAGTAAGAAAGTATCTATAGGTGCAAATTTATACTCCAGTTATACAGCGCAGTTAGAAAGACCATCTTTTTCTACTCTGGAAATCTGTAGGCTTTCTGATATATGAAGAATATTTTGGTTCATATGTGAACCAAAGTTAAAAAATGATACATTTTTGCCATGAAATGTGGAAGTGTTTGCTATAATACACTCTCTCTCTAGTAATGGTTAATGGTTAAAACAAATAAATGTGCTAGACATTAACGGTCATATAACAATTAAGTCAAGTATTATGGTGAAAAGGATAAGAATGCATTAACACTTAGGATAAAATGAGTTATATGTCATAGGTTATAGAGCGTTAAGGATAGTATGGTAAAGGGCATGAAAAGGGTAAAGAGGGGGAAGCAAATGAAGTATGGCAGGGATTAGTTAAAGAGGAAAGGGTTAAGAGTGTATTCCAATTGGATGAAATGGAGAACATGGATGACGAGGGAAGAGGAACATAGTATAAGGAAAAATGGTAAAGGAGCCATTATAAAATAATCAAAGGGTAATACAGGTAGAAATGGTGGTCCTAGATTTATTTTACTTATTGAAAATTTTCTGCTGCATCAGCATCTAAGGTCATTAGTGGTTGCATGAGCCCTGGTGGCAAAGTCCCCAGATAAGGAAATGCTACATGACATCAAAGCTCATATGTTGCTATGGTAAAGTACAAAAGCAAAAAGGGTTAGGAATGAGTTAATGATTAGGGTAAAATTAGAGGCTGAAAAGTACTAGAGGGTAGTATGGTAGTGAAAAGGGTAGAGATGGGGAGCTGATGGGGTAGAGTATAAGGTAAAGGTTGTTAGAAGGGGAAGGAGTTCAGAGAGTAGGGTGCATTAAGATAAAGTACTGTGGAAAAACAATACTTCAGCAAAAATGAGTTAACACTAAGGATAGGTGGACAGAACAAGGGGAAGAAAAAAAGGAAAAGGAATGGCGAAGAAAACCCCATGCGAAATTTGTTGAGGAGAAGGTTGAGGACCCAAGGTAGGGTGATCTCCCACACTGGGCCTCAGTCCCCATCTCCTAAACCCCAACACGACAACAATAAGCAAGGGACTCTCTTGAGTAAATTAAATCCTTTTATTTTGTGTGTGATTCCTTGAAAATGCAGTGTTCTGCTAAACCAAAACACAGATGACATAAATCATTAAAATAGTTTGAATCATTTCTAGATAATATGTCATTATCTTCATTAACCTTTTGCAATAAATGTTATATTCCCTGTTATAAACTTTCATCCTTCATCAATGTTAACAAAAAGAACTTTCTGGAGAGAAATGATAAAAGTTCAGATCTTAATGATGTATCTTGTCAATAACAACTAATAGCCTCCATTTCAGACATCTCTATCCAACACTGTATAACATGGTCAATACTATCTACAAAAAAGGAGTGGTCTGTTTTGTCATTAGTACTTCCTTACAGAAATAATAAAGTAACTACAAGAAAAAAAGAAGATCTAAGGAAATTTTGTAACACAAAGCCACAAACAGCTGAAGCAAAATGTAAAATATCTCATTTTACTCTCATTTAGAGTCATTTTCCCCCATCTTGGACGAGTATGACAGCTTACCTAGGAAAGTTTTAATCCTAGCTTGGCCAGGATTTAGGATTTTTTCCATCTATCAACCCAGATATCATGAGAGGAAGCAGTAACTTATAACTGTCTAAGGATTAGTTCTTTTTTTTCTTTCTTTTCTTTCTTTTCCCTATTTTTGTCACAAAGAACCAGGTATGTCATTTATAAAATACTCAACACAAGCATGTAAAGATATAATAAACAAATATTTATCATCCCCTTAACCGAGATTGTGCTGAATTACTGAAAAAATATCATTCTTAAAAATGAAAACAACAAAGTGGAAGCTACTCCATTAGCTTGAAAAACTGTGGATTATCTGGATCTCAAGTTCTCCACCTATTCTCAAGGAACATTTCTAGTCTGCTTGCAACAAATGTTATCACACTATGCTCAACATTTCATATAATAACTAAGAACTATGGTACATCAAGTAATGGTATATACTATTTAGTAAACACAATTTCATAGAAAACAGGGAGGGGAGGAGGTATTCATGAAGGTCAAAATTCAGCATAGTGTAATACACATTTTCTGAATACAAAACCTAATTTCTATCTTTATAAAAAGTACAGTAATGAAAAATATATATAAAATAATAATAAAATGGCATTAAACATAACAATAATAACAGGAAAAAAATAAATAAATAAATAAAAAATGTAATGAAATGAAGCTACTGTAGAAAAAAAGGATAATGATAATAAACTTTGAAATAGTAACTATAGTAAAAATGATAAGTGACTTTAGAAAATAATAATTCATAAATATTGTGAAAAAATTTAAAATCTTAATAATAAAACAAATATTCCATTGGAATTGACCAACAATAGCCCATCATTCATCATCAGTCTTTGAGTCCCACGATCCACTCTGGCAGTATGGTATATCCTGGTGAGGGAAGTTAAACTATGGCAACTATATACATATAAAATTCATTACTGGCACAGGTGTATCATAAAAAATATGTACAGATGGATTCAAGAGCTTTTTTCATCTACTTCTTAATATCTCTCTTGCCTCTGGGTTTTCATTCATGCATGGGCCTCATCTACCCTTCTTCATCTTTTTCAACCTCATCACCTTTAGTTTTCTTTCCTCCTCTTCTCTCTTCATATCCTCCAGATCTTCCATGAGACCAATTTTAGCAGAGATGCGCTCCTCTTTCTGCATCTGAGAGAATGAGGCCTCCATATCGTCACAGTCATCCTCTTCGTCCCTGTGAGGGGGTACAAGGAAAAACTATAAGTACAAATAACACCAATACAATAACCAAACATAGCCTTTTCTAATGCAACACTGTCAAGGAGAGTAAAGCCTTAAAATGACATACAACTTGTATTAACCCACTGGATCTGGGTGATGTGATCATGTCATGTAAAAAATTTGTCTGATGGCTAGGTGGGGCAATACGCCATCATGAAAATTTTGGCTGATGACCGAGGTGACAGGAATGACTCAAATATCTAGTGGCTCAAAACATAGCAGAAAAAATGTGAAAATGAATAAGTTGTTGTGTTCCAAATTAATCTTTAAAAAATATCCAGTGTCTCTTTCCATAATAAGTTTCATATTTCATTTCTAATAATAAAAGAGAAAGAACTACCTCTACATATAAGTGCAAAGTAAAAAAGAAAAAAAAAAAGTCAGTTTCTTAAAAGCAAAACATCATGGAAAAATGCACAAGTGAACCAAATGATACCCACGCATATCTGCTCTTATCATATCCAAACATCTTCTTGATTTCATTTGAGTAATCCAATTCTTCTTCCCCATCATCAATGAAATCATCCATTTCTGAGTCATATTCCTCTTCTGAATCACTCTCAATCCGGCCTCTCTTGAGCGATGGACCAGGGGGCTGTCGTCGATGCAAGTCTGGGGGAGGGAATGGACGTCCTTTGTCTTTTGGTGGGAAATCTCGGGACTTTTGGGGCTTGAGGTCTCTCGGAGGAAACTCTCTGCTCTTCTGCGGTCTGCCATCATTGGCCGAGACTGCACGGCTGTCTTGAGACTTGGAAGGCATCTGTTTAGAGTTCTGGGAAGGCTTTGAGTCCCTGCTTTGAGGAAGTTCTCGTGGCTTGGCCGCTGCTGGAACTGCAAAGTATTTACTTCTGTCAACCACTTTGGGTTCAGGCTTCGGTTTCTCCAGCGCCTGTTGCAGTTTACTTGCAGGCTTATTCTTCCCAGCCATCTTTTCACCTTCCTTCTTTGCTTTCTCTTCCTGACTACTTGGCTCATTCTTCTGTCCCTTCTCTTTGGACTTCTCTGGTTCCTTCTTTTCTGGAGGCAGCTTGCCCATTCTTCTCAACTTTCTTCTTCTCTCTTCTTCTAATTCCTCTTTCTCCTTGGCAGTGAGCGGCCGATCTATGTCCTTCTTTTTCTCTTGCTCCTTCACTTTTTTCTTGGCTTCTTCTTCCGTTTTGCCACCTGGCAGAGTCTGTTTTTTCTGGGCCATTTTCAGCAACTCCTCAAAGCTCATTGGTGGAGGTGCTGCTTTGGCCTTGCTCTTTTCTTTGTGCTTTTTGTGTTTCTCTCTTTTCTCCATGAGACCAATTTTAGCAGAGATGCGCTCCTCTTTCTGCATCTGAGAGAATGAGGCCTCCATATCGTCACAGTCATCCTCCTTCGTCCCTGTGGAGGGGGTACAAGGAAAAACTATAAGTACAAATAACACCAATACAATAACCAAACCATAGCCTTTTCTAATGCAACACTGTCAAGGAGAGTAAAGCCTTAAAATGACATACAACTTGTATTAACCCACTGGATCTGGGTGATGTGATCATGTCATGTAAAAAATTTGTCTGATGGCTAGGTGGGGCAATACGCCATCATGAAAATTTTGGCTGATGACCGAGGTGACAGGAATGACTCAAATATCTAGTGGCTCAAAACATAGCAGAAAAAATGTGAAAATGAATAAGTTGTTGTGTTCCAAATTAATCTTTAAAAAATATCCAGTGTCTCTTTCCATAATAAGTTTCATATTTCATTTCTAATAATAAAAGAGAAAGAACTACCTCTACATATAAGTGCAAAGTAAAAAAGAAAAAAAAAAAGTCAGTTTCTTAAAAGCAAAACATCATGGAAAAATGCACAAGTGAACCAAATGATACCCACGCATATCTGCTCTTATCATATCCAAACATCTTCTTGATTTCATTTGAGTAATCCAATTCTTCTTCCCCATCATCAATGAAATCATCCATTTCTGAGTCATATTCCTCTTCTGAATCACTCTCAATCCGGCCTCTCTTGAGCGATGGACCAGGGGGCTGTCGTCGATGCAAGTCTGGGGGAGGGAATGGACGTCCTTTGTCTTTTGGTGGGAAATCTCGGGACTTTTGGGGCTTGAGGTCTCTCGGAGGAAACTCTCTGCTCTTCTGCGGTCTGCCATCATTGGCCGAGACTGCACGGCTGTCTTGAGACTTGGAAGGCATCTGTTTAGAGTTCTGGGAAGGCTTTGAGTCCCTGCTTTGAGGAAGTTCTCGTGGCTTGGCCGCTGCTGGAACTGCAAAGTATTTACTTCTGTCAACCACTTTGGGTTCAGGCTTCGGTTTCTCCAGCGCCTGTTGCAGTTTACTTGCAGGCTTATTCTTCCCAGCCATCTTTTCACCTTCCTTCTTTGCTTTCTCTTCCTGACTACTTGGCTCATTCTTCTGTCCCTTCTCTTTGGACTTCTCTGGTTCCTTCTTTTCTGGAGGCAGCTTGCCCATTCTTCTCAACTTTCTTCTTCTCTCTTCTTCTAATTCCTCTTTCTCCTTGGCAGTGAGCGGCCGATCTATGTCCTTCTTTTTCTCTTGCTCCTTCACTTTTTTCTTGGCTTCTTCTTCCGTTTTGCCACCTGGCAGAGTCTGTTTTTTCTGGGCCATTTTCAGCAACTCCTCAAAGCTCATTGGTGGAGGTGCTGCTTTGGCCTTGCTCTTTTCTTTGTGCTTTTTGTGTTTCTCTCTTTCCTTCTCCTTCTCCCTCTCCTTTTCCTTCTCTTTTTCTTTCTCCTTGTCATACTTGAAATTGTTGTATTTATCACTTTTGTAGTTTGTTAAGTTAATATTGACTGGGACCTTTGCTCCTGAACTCGAGCTGGACTTCTTAGAGTCAGACGTAGAAGGGAAGTCATCATATGCATCGCCATCATTGATAAATCCATCCTCGTCATCAGCATTTTTGCGTCTTCTTTTTCTTTTTCTACCACTTTTAATTGAATGAATTAGCCACTGATTATCCCAGAATGACTGGCATAATATAACAGACATTCTAGATAATATGTCATTATCTTCATTAACCTTTTGCAATAAATGTTATATTCCCTGTTATAAACTTTCATCCTTCATCAATGTTAACAAAAAGAACTTTCTGGAGAGAAATTATAAAAGTTCAGATCTTAATGATGTATCCTGTCAATAACAACTAATAGCCTCCATTTCAGACATCTCTATCCAACACTGTATAACATGGTCAATACTATCTACAAAAAAGGAGTGGTCTGTTTTGTCATTAGTACTTCCTTACAGAAATAATAAAGTAACTACAAGAAAAAAAGAAGATCTAAGGAAATTTTGTAACACAAAGCCACAAACAGCTGAAGCAAAAATGTAAAATATCTCATTTTACTCTCATTTAGAGTCATTTTCCCCCATCTTGGACGAGTATGACAGCTTACCTAGGAAAGTTTTAATCCTAGCTTGGCCAGGATTTAGGATTTTTTCCATCTATCAACCCAGATATCATGAGAGGAAGCAGTAACTTATAACTGTCTAAGGATTAGTTCTTTTTTTTCTTTCTTTTCCCTATTTTTGTCACAAAGAACCAGGTATGTCATTTATAAAATACTCAACACAAGCATGTAAAGATATAATAAACAAATATTTATCATCCCCTTAACCGAGATTGTGCTGAATTACTGAAAAAATATCATTCTTAAAAATGAAAACAACAAAGTGGAAGCTACTCCATTAGCTTGAAAAACTGTGGATTATCTGGATCTCAAGTTCTCCACCTATTCTCAAGGAACATTTCTAGTCTGCTTGCAACAAATGTTATCACACTATGCTCAACATTTCATATAATAACTAAGAACTATGGTACATCAAGTAATGGTATATACTATTTAGTAAACACAATTTCATAGAAAACAGGGAGGGGAGGAGGTATTCCTGAAGGTCAAAATTCAGCATAGTGTAATACACATTTTCTGAATACAAAACCTAATTTCTATCTTTATAAAAAGTACAGTAATGAAAAATATATATAAAATAATAATAAAATGGCATTAAACATAACAATAATAACAGGAAAAAAATAAATAAATAAATAAATAAATAAAAAATGTAATGAAATGAAGCTACTGTAGAAAAAAAGGATAATGATAATAAACTTTGAAATAGTAACTATAGTAAAAATGATAAGTGACTTTAGAAAATAATAATTCATAAATATTGTGAAAAAATTTAAAATCTTAATAATAAACAAATATTTATCATCCCCTTAACCGAGATTGTGCTGAATTACTGAAAAAATATCATTCTTAAAAATGAAAACAACAAAGTGGAAGCTACTCCATTAGCTTGAAAAACTGTGGATTATCTGGATCTCAAGTTCTCCACCTATTCTCAAGGAACATTTCTAGTCTGCTTGCAACAAATGTTATCACACTATGCTCAACATTTCATATAATAACTAAGAACTATGGTACATCAAGTAATGGTATATACTATTTAGTAAACACAATTTCATAGAAAACAGGGAGGGGAGGAGGTATTCCTGAAGGTCAAAATTCAGCATAGTGTAATACACATTTTCTGAATACAAAACCTAATTTCTATCTTTATAAAAAGTACAGTAATGAAAAATATATATAAAATAATAATAAAATGGCATTAAACATAACAATAATAACAGGAAAAAAATAAATAAATAAAAAATGTAATGAAATGAAGCTACTGTAGAAAAAAAGGATAATGATAATAAACTTTGAAATAGTAACTATAGTAAAAATGATAAGTGACTTTAGAAAATAATAATTCATAAATATTGTGAAAAAATTTAAAATCTTAATAATAAACAAATATTCCATTGGAATTGACCAACAATAGCCCATCATTCATCATCAGTCTTTGAGTCCCACGATCCACTCTGGCAGTATGGTATATCCTGGTGAGGGAAGTTAAACTATGGCAACTATATACATATAAAATTCATTACTGGCACAGGTGTATCATAAAAAATATGTACAGATGGATTCAAGAGCTTTTTTCATCTACTTCTTAATATCTCTCTTGCCTCTGGGTTTCCATTCATGCATGGGCCTCATCTACCCTTCTTCATCTTTTTCAACCTCATCACCTTTAGTTTTCTTTCCTCCTCTTCTCTCTTCATATCCTCCAGATCTTCCATGAGACCAATTTTAGCAGAGATGCGCTCCTCTTTCTGCATCTGAGAGAATGAGGCCTCCATATCGTCACAGTCATCCTCTTCGTCCCTGTGAGGGGGTACAAGGAAAAACTATAAGTACAAATAACACCAATACAATAACCAAACATAGCCTTTTCTAATGCAACACTGTCAAGGAGAGTAAAGCCTTAAAATGACATACAACTTGTATTAACCCACTGGATCTGGGTGATGTGATCATGTCATGTAAAAAATTTGTCTGATGGCTAGGTGGGGCAATACGCCATCATGAAAATTTTGGCTGATGACCGAGGTGACAGGAATGACTCAAATATCTAGTGGCTCAAAACATAGCAGAAAAAATGTGAAAATGAATAAGTTGTTGTGTTCCAAATTAATCTTTAAAAAATATCCAGTGTCTCTTTCCATAATAAGTTTCATATTTCATTTCTAATAATAAAAGAGAAAGAACTACCTCTACATATAAGTGCAAAGTAAAAAAGAAAAAAAAAAAAAAACAATATACATAATACATAATTTACAATCATAAATTTTGCATATTTTTCACTTTATGCAATCAAGCAAAAACAAGTCCTGTGGATGTACAGTGTATTGATTCTGGTAACTTTGTTCTAGGTACATTTATAATTCAAAAACTTTTAAATGTCAAGTGGTTTGAAAAAGGTTAGGCACTCTTCTTCCATCATAGCAAAATAGCATTTTAACAAAGCTTAAACCATTTATAAGGAACAAAATAAAAGTAGCACTAACCAAGAATTTCTTACTGGTATTTCTTTTATGCACAACAACGTTTAAAGATGCAATCAACAACCCTACCTTAATATCATCAATGCTCCCTTTGGATCTTTTAACAAACTTCAACTTGTCATCCTCAGGCATGTTGGCATAACGGTCAGCTAGTTTGCTGAAGATCTGCTGGCTCATAGCAGACTCATAACCATAGTCATTCCCATCAGGAAAAAAAAAAAGAAAAAAAAAAAAAAACATTAGTAACAGCAAAATAAGACAACGCAAAATAATTTTGTAAATTAAAGAAAAGGGTAAACAGGCGAGACAGGCAGTACAAGTACAAGTGGAGCCATCTATGTTTGAAAACAATTAAACAAGTAAACTCACAGTGAGCCCATCACGTATACGTGACGCCCGGCACGAATGGGTTAATGATTTTGTAAAAAAAAAAAAAAAAAAAAAAAAAAAAAAAAAAATATATACATAATACATAACTTACAATCATAAATTTTGCATATTTTTCACTTTATGCAATCAAGCAAAAACAAGTCCTGTGGATGTACAGTGTATTGATTCTGGTAACTTTGTTCTAGGTACATTTATAATTCAAAAACTTTTAAATGTCAAGTGGTTTGAAAAAGGTTAGGCACTCTTCTTCCATCATAGCAAAATAGCATTTTAACAAAGCTTAAACCATTTATAAGGAACAAAATAAAAGTAGCACTAACCAAGAATTTCTTACTGGTATTTCTTTTATGCACAACAATGTTTAAAGATGCAATCAACAACCCTACCTTAATATCATCAATGCTCCCTTTGGATCTTTTAACAAACTTCAACTTGTCATCCTCAGGCATGTTGGCATAACGGTCAGCTAGTTTGCTGAAGATCTGCTGGCTCATAGCAGACTCATAACCATAGTCATCCTCATCACATTGCTCCTCCCCTCGGGCAGTTGTAATATCCTGTAGGAAATAATAGAAATTAAAAATCTCATGTCAAAAAAAAATGGGCACATGTGTGGCTTCATTTT